GGGGTCCTACCAATGGGACGACAGGTGACGCTTCAGGAGCAATGGCGCCTTATCAACTCCCAGTTTTTCATTGCACCTCCTCATCAGACGTGGAAGGGGATGCAATAGCAGCGTGCTAGATATGATACGGTTATCGTTATCGTTCGATTTTCATGCTGGAGTGCACCTCATTCAAGCAGCCGTATCTTCTTATCTAATCGTATCGTATCTTCCATAGGGTTACGCTCGTCCAACCACTATCTATCTCCGACCTTATCGGTTGATAACGCGGAGTTCGGCGATCCACGTGGAAGCCCGTGATCGCATCCCTTAAAGGAAGTGGTCACGATAATTTTCATGGGAACGATAAGGAAAGCTATGTATTGGAGTGGATAGAGGTCCTGCCCAATGTTAGAACACGTGAAGTTTCAGTGGCAGTGGCGCCTTATCAACGGAGTGATAAGGCGCCGAAATCCACTTCCTTCAGCAAAAACCAAGACTTATCGATGTGGAAAGGGGTGCGATAAGAGCGTGCTAGATATGATACCGTTATCGTTATCGTCCCGTTTTCATTCTGGAGTGCACCTCTTATCAAGCAGCCGCACTTCTTATCTCATCGTATCATATCTTCCATGGGCTTACACTCGTCCAACAATTACTGCCTCACACCTTATCGATTGATAACGCGAGGGTAGCAAATCCAGCGTGGAAGCCAGCGTGACCGCTTCCTTTAAATCGCTGCAACTAAGATGGTCTTGTTCACTCAATGCGTTTTAAGTTTCATTAGAAATATTCGTATCTACCTCCCAGGCCAGCTTGAAATCCGCTATACTCCACGACGAAAAGCCCTCTCTGTTACACCCGAAGAAAGAGGGCTCTTCGTCATAAAAGGTAGTAGAGTCCAATATCTCCTGTTCTCACCTCAAGGTCGGAAAATTGTGCGCTACAATTTCTCAAGCAACCAACATTGCTCCATGATATGAATTACAGTAGGTGAAACTGGAAGAAAAGAAATCATGGAAAACCCCGCAGACTAAAACGTTACCCTCTAATCAAAATAGAACTTAGCAGCCTTATCAAAGCTACGCCACTACAGGATGAGTTGCGAATCATTACCGCCTTGACGAACGTGGATGTTTTTGCTTTTCTGGAGCGTGGGAAAGGCGCGATATTGTGAGCACTGCAAAAGAAAACTAGAAACGTAAGAATGGAAGCAACCATACACCTATTCCCAAACCATGTTACTTATACTTACACATTACGTATGAATTGTTGATGTAAACAATCTGAAGTATGCCCCTCCAGCAGGTAGAAGGAACATCTCATGCGACCAGCAGGCATGATATCTTTAGTACTATGGCGTCGTCCAAAGAAATAAATAACGCTCAAAATGATTCCTAATTAGCACTGCTAAAACACTGCGCTAGTGTTTTAGCAAACGCAAATGCTCAGTGGACTTATCTGATATATATGCGGCCCTAGAGTTATGTTGATACTATCGAGGAATATCGTGGCGTTAGCTACTTAATATAAAACACGAAAAAGGAAAAAGCACCACTGCAATTAGAAACCCATTAACTTTAAATAACGAGTACTGCCCTGAAATATTCGATCCTGAAATCATCAATAAAAACCACATGCGTTTCATACCTCCTTGAATTGCATAGGTCCTTTATGATCAGATGATCATGATGACTCATTATTATTGAAAATCGTGAGAAAACACCGAAACAATCTCGGGAGACACAGGCGGCCAGAGTGTCCCGCTGTGTTGAATCTCCCGCTCACTCACTCTCTTCCATCAGGTCGAGTGTGGGTAGATCACCTAGATAAGATAATTATAGATCGTGCCTGATCTGATCACCAGTCATTAATTTAACTTACGTTGCCCTACAACTAATACACCACAGTTCCGTATTTGTTTTTGTTCTTTGCGAAACCACTCAACTAGGTTTATTTCACGGGCATTCCCCGAACAACCCCCATGCCCGAGAACACAGTAGTATTGTGGATAATGATGAAATTAGATTCAAGGGTTACAAAAGTAAATGTTCAATAATGCCGGAACAATGGTAGACTCTATCCCCAATGCATCACCAACGGATGGTAGGGTGATTTCTTCTAGTTTTGGAAGAAAGAAAAAGCAAATGCGAATAAATCAGACGCGTTACAGCTTTCCTCCAAGGAAAATAATTGTGTTACTATTCCACATTTCTTGGTAATTATTTTTGCTAAGGTATGAAGAATTAGGGGAAGCAATTTATGTTACGTGGGAATATGTAACAAGATTATGCGCGGGATTGAAGAGCCATACTGGGATAACGTATTAGAAATGAGGAATCGTGGAAAATTTGAGAAAATTAAAGATTCATATAACGACAGTTGCGGGTAGCAAGACACACCCCTCCGTTCGACACATGAATTAAATAGCCGGGAAAAGAGATAGGACGCTGCGTGGAGGAAGTTGAAAGATCCTATCAAGAAGGTGTTATTTTCAAATCAGAGCTGCCCAGCCCGAAATGTACTTGAGCCCAGCTGACTTGGATAACTAGACCTGTTTCTAATGAAAACTGCATTAACTTGCACATTGACTCAATCATTAAATAGAGATACGATATTCTGATGTCTCTAAAACCCATAGTAAGGCCCAAAACAATTGGGCCTTCCGCCGATAAACACTGCCCACGGCTCATTCTGTCATTATCAGTGAATATTTGTTCCATAACATAGCTCATTATGCACTGCATTGCAAAGAAATATTAGCAACCAGGTCAAATTGAAGGGGCAAGGAGTTTTATCATCATCACCAAGAGCGCGCTGGCGAAGGATTGCGTAAAGAGACAAAATCCAAGCTAAACTAGGGAGTGCTATAAACGATCGCAGGTATCGCGAGCCTATTTAATATGCATATTCATTCATCGAGACTGGAATCTGTCATCTTTACTTGTTCGGCTTTTCGCATTTTAAAGTTAATTAGAGATAGTACGAGTTTAATCCTGGGAGCCCCCACAGGTCAACGAGCGAACGCTAGACAAAAATCCTAACGTCTTCGTAAATAAATCACTAAAATTCCAGGATGATTGATAGGGTTTGATATGGTTACAACAGCCTAACATATCCTTACAAAAAGGCTTTATTCAGACTTGTTCCTAGCTTGATGCAATGCGAGCTCTTTCCTTGAATCCGCATTCCTAAAGTGGCGGAAAAGACCGGGTAAACCCAAAGCTGGGTAAAACAATGTTAGGGGTTCTTTCGATTTAGTCGAAGCAGTCCCAACACCTCACCACCTTTTCGTCATGAACACAGGCTGGTGTCAGAGTCCGCGATCCGTCGCAGGTTTCGCTGGTTTTCGCGAAACACTGAATATGAAACAAGTGGAATCATGAACAGTCGTCATTCAGCCAAGCAGAAATGGCGGCAGGATTGGAGAACACCTTGCAGTATTGATCGGGCACTTGTGATTTCCGTGACCCGTCGCGTGAATCGCGCAAATCAGCGAAACCTGCGACGGATCGCAGACTCTGACACCAGTCTTAAAATGCATCTTAAAGCAACAGTTCAGGGAGGGTCCGAAAATTTCAATGCCACTACTACTGAGGGATACACGAGCCCTAGTGAAGAACATATGCAGTGGAAATAATAAACGAACTTACCTCAGAAACTCAAAAACAGGGTGGAAAGTCCCTCAAACATGGGTGTTCTTGGGGATTTCCCCAATCCCGCCCCCTTGCCGGCCGTCATTGGACGCGTCGGCAATCGTGCTCGTTTTGGGACCACAGGGAAAATTGATTGAAAAATGGAGCGCGTTTACAGCGGGCACGTTCAGACAACTCGTCCAACGTGCGTCTTTATCCATTGCTGAGCGGCAGAGGGAGAGTACCTGTCTAAGACCCTCCCCGACGTTTTTTTCCAGTTTTTCATACATTAATCGTCTGGTTTTCATCTACAACTTCATTATTGGTGGTTTTTTCCCGCGAAACCGTTCCTGAACTGTTGCTTTAAGCTGTTCGCAGAACCAAACAAGGCAAGTATCCGCAACTATTGGTGCGCGACGACAGCCAACTCCTTAACCATATCATACCCAACCTTGTAAAATGCAAACAGTTCACCAGCAGCGTTCGTAGCACACGACTTGAGCAATTATGTGTTTTAGTGGTAATACTGAAAGAATATATATGTGCCGACTGAAGGATCGCCAACACACTGCATCGATGAACGGTCATAAGGCGGAGTCCATCCGACCAATGTGCACCTAATCCTTTCAGCTGGAACTGCCGAATCGCATATATGTGGAAATATCAGACCAAAAAGTACGCTTTTTTCTGTGAAGTCGCCCAATCGCACAAGTCGCGAGGTATGAACGAGGCCTTAGGGGAAGTAGAGTGGGCTGGATTCAATAAAGTTGAGTGAGGCCTGCGCACCAGATCAGCCTTGAACGAAATCGTATCCGAAACATTGTAGAACCTCATCCGCAATCACGTGCATGTGGTATTCTCGAAAGGGTACAACCCGGGTACATTTCAGTTTCATAAAGCTAAAAACATGTTATACTTGACACCTTTTCTCAAAGCGCTTACACACTTCAGACCGCCTGATTAGCACGTTTTCTTGAATGAGACAGCTCATATGCGTGCAGTCGTACAAGCTATATAAAGCGTAAGTAAGGCGGTCCAAGGTGTGAAAGCAGCCTTGGTTATTGAAAAAACACAAATCTTTGAAGGCTTCAAAATGGGCAATCAACCATGTCTTTCGCGGACTACTGTTTCGAACGCACTGATCGTGACGAGAAGACAGCAGTTTTGAAGTAGCAAAGAGTCGGGGCATTACCATATATAACGTTAGTAATTGATAACCTTAATTGTTTTTGACGCCTCTTATACCGTTATGATAAAGACGAACTTATGTAAACCACCAATAAAACTCATTTGAGTTCACATGGGAAGACAAGACTGGTCTTCATGGAAGTCTAACCAGAACGGTCAGAAAAGAAAAGAAAATTGAGAATAAGGAGTTACTCACTCGTTAATTGCTCTTCCTGATTCCCTCAGCTTGTGAAGCTGTTCTAAACGATAGAAAGTATTGTATACATCCCTGGTTCGACGAGGCTCTTCCTCAATTTTTGAGGCAAGGAGCAAGCACGCCATCACGGTGTGCTACAAATAAAACTATTTTCATTGAAATATGACAAAAACAGTTTAAATTTATTAACCTCATATCTGAATTTGAGAAAGCTCTTGAGATAATAGAATCGCTGGAATAATATTTGTCCAGTGGCAGCGGCAACCTGAGGCAATTTCAGTAATACTGCACCTTCTTGTATTAGCGAACATCCGAAGAAACGGAGATTCTGCAAACGGCGAACAAAACTGCAATGTTGTCAATTCCAAACCAATACCGAAAACCGTATACAACACTTCAACACCATGTACAGCCGCTATTGCAAACATATTATTGCTGAAAGAAGCAGTGAACTTTTATAAAGAAATTCACCTTTTCAGTTTCTCTGTCCATGCCATCCGCTAACGACGGTGGATCTTGAAGGAGTAGCCGAGCCTTTTCGTCCATCGTTTGGTACCACTTATCACAATTGATATTCACCCTAAAAATATATTGAAGCCTTCCACCCGGCATTAGTCAAGCGTACTTCACGACACTGTTGCTTCATGCATTTATCGATTATTTTTTTCTTCTCTAACAATCTATCTCCGACTATACAAGTCAATGCGAATGAAAACAATTATGGAGACTATACTTTGAAAAGTGAGGCCGGAGTCCAAACGAACTAGGACGGATGGGATTATCGTCCTCGGGATTCGCCTCATTTTCTCCACCATTTTCACTTTTCGCTGGTGCCTCTGCCTAAATCGTAACAAAAATTATAAACTGTAAGATGACATTCAAACAGCATTAATAAATGTAGTTGACACATTCACAAGATGATGTAATGACGACGTACTTTTCTCTTTCTGACAAATGCTTGCGCTTTTGCAAGCGCTAGACTCCTCTTCTCCGCAAGTGTTGTCATCACAAGAAATTACAAAAACATAGAAGGGAACACCTAGAAGAAAAATTCTAAGCCAATCACACCCGACAGAAACAACCGCAATGACCAGAGAATCCATGGAAATTGAACGTGGAAAACGACGACATCAGGAAATCAGTGCGAACATATTCACCTACGAGCATAAAAACACCCCAATACAAACTACAACACCAACCAAATAGGAATAAAATAACTCCCAAACCTGGCAACAATTTCGAAATGATGGAAGGGCGATCTGCAATGGTACGTGGCGTCGTTTTCTAATGGGCGGTGGACTACGTACCGCTGCCCTCTACCGTTCCGAAAATTAAGTCTGGCGCAGCGTGGGGACGGGGTCAACTCACCATTGGTCTTTATGGGGAATTTCACGACCCCCTCTGCTTTTCGGAGATCTTGGTACGCCCCCCCCCCTCAGAATATTTCTGCATGAAAACACTAGCATTACAATATCGCGTTTTGAATGTCTTGAAATCCGACAATGGAGCGCAGTTGCTGATCGGGAACAGGCGAGGAGATGAGAACAGGGACCTACTGGACATCAAACGAATATTTCTTTGTGACGATTCAGGTGTTTTAGAAAGGTGAGATTGATTCGGAATCGATAAGGCTTCCGCTTTCTAGCAGATGCTCAAATCATCTTTAACTATGTAAAACCTTCAAGTTATTAACTGAAAAGTAAAATTTCAATGAAGTTTGCACCTGCCTATTTCGAGGGTCACCACTTCGATTAAGAGAATGTGCGGTGGAGTAATACAGTTAGTGAGGTTCAAATTATGCTCCCTTTAAAAATCGCTAGACATTCTTTGAAAGTTAATTTAATAAAAATTTAGTACGTTGTTACTTTTTTCTGTGCAAAGCGACTTTTCAACCTTCAAACGATCATAACTTCCTTCAAAGTCATTCATTTGGGAAGCTGAAACACGTATGACAAACTACAGGATTCAAGCTTTCTAAAAAGTAGCGAAACGTTATCAAAAATCTAATGATTAAAAATTAGTCCCAATGGGAGTTTCTTCGTCGGACACTCTTCAAGCCATCGGCGCAATGTGGCTCGAGGGGCCAGCCGCCGCGCGCGGCATTGCGGCAACAGGAAATTCGTGAGCCAGGGGAATGTAGCCAATTCAGGGGGGTGGGGGTGAGGGCAGTCACTTAGCATGCGTGAGAAGCTGGAATGTTCGAGTTACACTACATCGCTGAGCCGCGCGCGGCGACTGGCCTCCCCCCAGAGTCAACCCTGCGTTGCGCAGTTCGCAACGGCACGTTGAGAGATCCTCAACGCACGCTGTATGGGCGGAGACACAGACGGCTCGAGCATGCGAGTGTGAATGTTCGCGCGAGAGAACGTGTCTAATCGGGCGAAACTGCGCAACGTGGCCGTTGAGAACTGCGCAACGCAGGGTTGACTCTGCTCCCACCAGGGTCAACCCTGCGTTGCGCAAATTCCAAAATTTTTACGACCCCCTTCCTTTTCGGGGGTATCGGTACGACCCCCCATATTAACTATCATGTCTTTCACATAATTTAATGCTCATCAATGCTCATCAATGATGGCAGTCACCAACATGGAGAAGTGGTGGACCGTGGTCAATCCGCGCGCTGTCTCGCTCAGAGGAGGGAATCGAGGCAAATGAAGTTTTATTCATTAAATAGAAGGAAATTTCCAAGGAGAGCCCACCCCTTTTTCTGCGTGCAACAAATAATCAGGTCATATCATAATCCGTAAACGCCTTTCTACTTCAGAACCCCCCTATGGATTCGAATCTGCTCATTTTCCTAAGGCCTTATCATCCTTGAAAAAGGTAACAGCTTCGTTTTTGTCGAGGGCCCATAAACGAGCGCCGTAAAGAGCGTAGCAATTACATTGCAATCCAAACCCCTCCATTCAGAAGGTTATATTTTCTTTCAGAAGCTGTTTCATGAAATCGGACACCAAAATTTTAAAAATATAAATAGTTTTCTTCCTGAGGAGTATTTGAAATGTTGTGGATGTTCAATATTTCAAAAAATCGTCCCGTTGTTCCGTTTTCTGTGCACACGCGAGTTTTTGACATTCAAACATTCATAACTTTCTTCATAATCAACTTTTTGCAAATGTCTAAGGCTAATTAGAAACTAGAAGATTAGAGCTTTCGAACAGCACCTGAAAATTTTCCAGCGATCATTTTTTCAAAAAATAGTCCCGTTGTTCCGTTCTTGGGTGGTTTGGGGTCCGATTTTTGAGAAGGCGCGAGTTTTCGACATTCAAACGTTAATAACTTTCTTCATCTCCTTTAAAATTAATGTGATGAGAAGCGGTAAAGATTGTTGGAATCCACTCGAAGAGTACTTCATAACAACTGTGAAAATTTCCCTGAAATTTTTCTTCTGCCTCAATTTTCCTACGGCGTCTCTAGAACTCAATTCAGCAAATTCGCTACACTTTGTTTCGCTTAGATTTTATTTGAAAGCATCGAAACTCTCTTCAGAAAGTTTGTCTGCTTACGGCCGCTGACAGAGGAGGCGTTTTTATGGGAAAACGCCTCGGGTATACGCCGTGCACCTATCTGTGGGCAGAGTTCGCACTCGCATTTTGAAGTCTTCTGTTTTCCTGAAGAAGGTGTTAGTATCCTGATTGAGTTGTATTGTGCTGTTATATGGCACTCTTGTTTCACTTTCCCATGAACTGCTCTACACTTTGTTCTCCTCGGGATTTCAGGAATGTTTCATCATCGAAGACAGACCATGTTTTTGCACTACACTGTAACAAAGTTTTTGGCTATTGTACTCTTGATCTATGCCGCGGAGCAAAAGCGCCGTCCGGATAGCGTCGATTAAGGATAATAAGCTGATGGTGAGACTTATAGTGCTCTGCATGCTTTAATGCTCCCATGGAGCTCATGTCTGTGTGACTCTCCGACAGCGTGCAGAGCTCCTGGAGAACATTAGAGGCTGAAAGTGCACTCCCGGACACTGCACTTTTCAAGCCGTCTTGCAGCCCGTCTGTGGATACGACCCCCTCCCTTTTCGGTCGGCTGAATACGACCCCCTCGTTGTTCTTTGCGCAACGCAGGGTTGACCCTGCTCCCCCCCCCGAGCCACATTGCGCCCAAGCCATCTTCTTGGAAATGCGATTTTTTTGGTTTCAATGGTCGTAACTTCCGCCAAAATTGATTTTGTGTAAAACGCTGGCTCCCCCACTTTCTTAACGATTTAGAGCGCGGGGGTGGGGGGGGGGGGGGGGGGGGGGGGGGGGGGGGGGGGGGGGGGGGGGGGGGGGGGGGGGGGGGGGGGGGGGGGGGGGGGGGGGGGGGGGGGGGGGGGGGGGGGGGGGGGGGGGGGGGGGGGGGGGGGGGGGGGGGGGGGGGGGGGGGGGGGGGGGGGGGGGGGGGGGGGGGGGGGGGGGGGGGGGGGGGGGGGGTGG